TTTCAAGAACCACCAGTAGGATATGAATGACTTCTGGTTTAAAGACAAAACACTGCTTTAGGCCAATTCATGAACTTTCAGGTCATAGAAGTTTCTTTGATGCAGAGCCTCAGGCTCAGTCCTACCCTCCAGAATTGTAAAGATCTTTTTATTCAATTGTGTGAAGCACTTAGTAAACTCCTTTTGGATTGAGTTTGTGGAATTAGTTAAGTTTTAGCAATGTCATTTTCCTATAAAAGTACAGTTGACCCTTGAACAATGTGATTTTGAACTGCAAGAGTCCACTTAGACGCAGATAATTTTCAGAAGTAAATACTACAGCCCTGCATGGTCTGTGATTGGTTGAATTTGAAATTGTGGCGGAACCGTGGATACAGGGAGCTAACTATAAACATAAAATATACTCAGATCAACCCGAGTTGTTTCAAGGGTCACCTGTGCAGCTTTCCCCTTTGTTTGAGTTGGAGATAGGCTGCGATAATAAAATTTTTCTGAGACAGAAATGTTTGGTTGGGGAAGATTATTTTGGATTATGTTTGATTGAGGAAGAGATTATTCATGCCTTGATGTGCGAAATGAGTGAGAGTGAGTGTTAGATTGTTTCTTTCCTTAGTGTCTCTTCCTTATCCGTCCTCCCCCGGCATCCCTCACCCCTCCACCTGAACTTAAACTTCTTCAGGCTGAATTGTGCGGTAAGCATCCTATGTTTTATCCCTGTTGCCTGTAATAGTTCCTGGCAAACAGGAACTATTTTCTCAGTGCAAAGTATTCTCACATTGCTTTCTTAAGCTCTTCTCTTCTGGTAAACTTTGAGTCTCTTGAGAACAGACTTTATATGTCTCTGTCTTCAGTGCCTAGTTAGTGTTCACTGGTTACTTCTTGAAATGAATTACATTTTGCATTATGCTTCTGCATATCACTGGATTTTTCAACAAATCCAGTTCCTAAGTGTGTGTATTCATGGCTAGTAGCTGCCTCAGTGAATTTGGTGGTGTCTGCTCATTATCTTATTAATCACTTTTTCTATGTAATTTCTAATTCAAGTCTTCTCTCATGAATCCCTTTCTGTTCATTCTGCTATTTATTGTTGCTCCAGTTTTTGAGCTTTTGTTACCACTAGTATATAGTTTTTATTGCTTTAATTAGCAATTTAGATTTAATGAAATGAGCTACTATTTAGCACAATTCTACATTGTGAACTTGTGATTTTTTTTTTAAGAAAAGCATTTGTGGTTTTTTCTGTCTTCAGTTATAACCTTGGTAATATCACATGATTGAGATTATAAAAGAAATTATTTTGTAATAGTTGGGACAAGAAGCAGAATTATAATGCTTCTATGAACTTGCATACACCAACATCGGAGAACTAAGTCGGTATTCCAGTTTGTTCAACAGACTAGTCACTACACTGGCTAAAGAAATAAACATATTTCTTGCAAAATCCTATCTTTGAGCAAAAAGGATCTTTGAAGTGATCTACATTAACCTTAGTGCCCAGATTGCGAAAATGGCTGCAGAGGGGTTATGTGGCTTGCCTCGTTTTGGAGAGTAGTTGAAAGCTTGAAGACTAAGAATATGCTGCAAACTTTTGTGAATTCAGTAGTTTTGTATTTGCCAAAGTCAGAGATGGGAACTAGACACCACAAAGCCTGGGATCTGTTCTGGGAACTTAGGAATGATAGTGAAGGAGAACAAAATACCGATGCAGGGTAGAAAAAAAAGTAGGCACTTGATAAAATTGTGCTGATTCCCGGAAACATTGAAAGTTTGTGTGTTCGAGCAAGATGATGAATTCAGTGTTTAAGGTGGAATTTTTTCCTTAGCCATTTGGTTCATTGTTAGTATGTATTTAATAACCATATGCAGATTACTTGTCCTCTTTCTACCTCAGTTTCTCCCTTGCCCCTCTCCCCTCTGTCTCCCTCCTTCTCCCTGCACCCCAGATGAGAGATGAGTATGCTTTCGGGGCAAACCTGACTTCTAGTTTAAATTGTAGTCTTTGTTAGTGTAGCACAAGTGTGAATACTGCGGTGAGTGGAAATTACACTAGTTGTTTTTATGAAAGATAAAGCTCCCATTTCTTTTTTGTATTTGGTTGTATATATAGTTCCTTGCAGTAGGGTCCTGAGTGGAGCCTGAAGGATAGTTTTAATGACTTGAGCTCTTTCTATCTGGGTCACTCATCTTCCAACCTCAGATACCAAGTTTTCTGCTGTCTCAATCAGAAAAAGCTGTTCTGTTGTTAGTGAATACTGAAATCTTTTGGCAGCCCCTGTTGGAGGAGAGGCAGGGGGCCCAGGTACTTTGCTCTGCCTCTGCCTCTGCCTGCTAGGGTTGCCACAACCAAGTTCTACAGACTGGGTGGCTTAAACAGCACATTGATTTTCTCACAGTTTTGGAAGCTAGAAGTCTGAGGTTAAGGTGTGAGCAGGGTTGGTTTCTTCTGAGGCCTCTCTCCTTGGCTTGTAGAGCTGTCTTCCTCCCATGTTTCCACATGGCCTCCCTTCTGCGCATGCCTGTGTCCTTACCTCCTCTTGCTAGGGTACCATTCGTCAGGATTAGGGCTTTATCTCAAAGACAGTACATTCTGGAGGTTAGCCGTCAAGAGGCCTGTTTTGACTTGGGGCAAGTAACAGTGGACTACAGGAGGTGATTCCGCAGTGTGTAAGGCTTACCACTGTACTGTCAGGAGATTTAGGTTTTATTTTAGGGCTGGATTTTGATTTAGAATATTATTGTACTTTTCCCCCCTCTTTTTGCGAGCCCTTTATTTCAGGAACACCAGTGGTACTTGACCATTCAAGGAAAAGTTAAAGGCCTTTTTTTCAGAACTAGTTTTACTCAACAAATTTATAGATGGAAAGATATTTTTTCCATCCTCTGTAAGATCTTAAATGAAGGAGTAATATTTTTCTCTAGCTTTAACAAGTGAATTATTCAAGAGTGTTAGTAGCAGCACATTGATTGTTCTGCATTTGACTTCAGTCATTTGCCTCATATTTGTCTAGTAGATCCTTAGTTTGACTCTTGATTTGCATCCGTGTACCCATCCCCTGGCTTCAACATCAGCTTTCTGTTAATGTCCTATCTATTCTCCATCTAAAATTTTTTTCCAGTGGATTAACCCCCCCCCAATTCTTTAATTGAGGTAAAAGTTACATAACATAAAATTCACTGTTTTAACCATTTTAAAGTGTCCAGTTCAGCACCACTTAGTATATTCACAGTGTTGTGCAGACACCACCTCTGGTCCAGACATTTTCATCACCTCCAGTGGAAACCCATTCCCAGTAAGCAGTCACTCCTCATCTTCCCCTGCCTCTGGCAACCACTAATGTGCTTTCTATCTCCATGTGTTAGCCTGTTCGGGAGTTTTCATATAAATGAAATCATACAATATGTGACCTTTTATATCTGGCTTCTTTCACTTACATGGTGATTTTGAGATTCATCCATGTTATAGCCTGTGTCAGCATTTCAAACCCCCCCATTTTTTGGCTGAATAATTTTTAAGCCTCTTTTGATATGTGTAAAAATCTTTATTCTCATTTGGTATCAATAATATTAGAAAGTAGAATATTAGGATAACTTTATTTTAATAAAATTAGAAATTTGATGATTATAAAGTGAAAAAATAGTGATTTTAAAAATATACTTTCAGAGCTGCATCCTTTTATAACTACTGGCCTAGACATCTGAATTGAAGTCATTAGTTGAAATGTGGATGCTGAAACTTAGTTGGATTCATGGGATAGCTGAATAAACAGATTCCTTCATCACCCTTATGGAGTCAAATGCTTAGTGCATTTTGTGCATTCTGGTTTAATTCACACACAGCCCAAAGAAAGAGTGTATCTCATCTCGTTACAAATTAACAGTTGTCAGGGACCTTCTGGGATCACTCCAGAGTAGTGGAAATAGTATATATTAAATACATGTTTTATCACTATTTGTTTTTGGTGTTGTAGGAGTCAGGACTTAAAGTTCCCTCTCCCTTCACCCCCTCCTCCTCTTCCATCTCCTTTTTGTTATTAAATGGTTTCAGGAAACACTAAAGTGACATGGATGAATTAAGTTAGTACGAAGAATAATTTCATCCAAAGGAAATCATAAATTTATTTTCAGGCCCTTTAATATCTTGAATGAGAAAAGGCAAATGTAAGAATATAGAAAAATAATGGAGAGTCTAATCTTTCCTCTTTTTAAAACAAAAATAATTGCAGAAATGCTTCTAACAGCCTTTACGTATTTTCAAGGTCTACTTTTTAAAATATACTTTAAAATATGTTTTAAAATCATGCATATATTTGTATTATTGGAATGTGAGTTTAATTGGAGAGCTTTAAAGTTGAAAAACTGTAGAATACATTTTTTTCTTCAGATGTTAGCTTAATGTTGCCTGTATAAATATGTAAATACACATACTGAGAAATGTTTCTGTGGTAGTTACTTTGAGTCTGAAATTAGATATACATACTTTTAACATTCATATGAAATATACGATAGTTTGGTCCACTTTTTACACTAGTCCTAGGAAATTTAAAAGGACGAAAGTCAGGTTTAAAAATTTTTTAGTGACACTTGCATAAAATGAAGGTCTTACGATAAACTTAAAATGGTTTGTTTTACTGTAAAACATCTAATGAAAACTTCATTAAAGAAATGTGGTATTACCTTCCTCCCCCCTGCAGTTTATTCACCCTACGCATTCACAACACACTCCAAGCTGTTATAAACTTTTGTTTTGCCTTCTATCAGGCTGAATTTTACAACAAATACTTATTAGCAGTTATTTTGTGAATTGGCCTTTTTCAAATATGTAACTGGTCTCTACCAATGAATATATCTAATAGTTAATTTTGTAAATAAGTTGACTAAAAGCTAGAAATGATGTATATTAGGAAAAGAAAGAGAAGTGTAAAAAATGTTCATTTAAAAATGTTTTCAGGGAGTGTTACAGTGCTGATATGTGTAGTAAAAGTACTTTTTTCTTACCCTAGTGTCCTAGAACGAAAACATCACCATGGCTACAGAAATTGGTTCTCCTCCTCGTTTTTTCCATATGCCAAGGTTCCAACACCAGGCACCTCGACAACTGTTTTATAAGCGACCTGATTTTGCACAGCAGCAAGCAATGCAACAGCTTACCTTTGATGGAAAACGAATGAGAAAGGCAGTAAACCGAAAAACCATCGACTATAATCCTTCCGTAATTAAGTATTTGGAGGTGAGTCCAGTTTATGTGCTTCAGATGACCCCACTTTGGTTGTTAAAAAGAGGAAAGTTTTTAAAATGCAGGGTAATGAGTATACTGGTGTCTTTTGGAATTAGTGGGAAGAAGTAGAATTTCAGATGAGGTCAATCACCTAAAAAAAAAAAGGTACTTTTTTTTAAACTCTTAGCATGCATGAATAATCTTTTCAAAAATTATTTGTTAGACGGGGAGGGTATATATATAGTTCAACTGGTAGAGCATATGCTTAGCACGCACGAGGTCCTGGGTTCAATCCCCTGTGCCTCCTCCAAATATAAATAAAATAAATAAACCTAATTACCTCCCTCATAAAAAGACAAACAGATTATTAAAGTTAGACACCAATTTAGAAATAGGCTTTGTTATAAAGGTTCATAATGTATTTCAGAAGAGGGTATTTTTATTCAGCTAGGCCAACCTTAAAACACTTGTTTTCATACCCACAGTGCATATAAAAAATGTTAAGAGACCGCCAAAGTAGGAGTATTTGTGAGAGTATACATTCAAAATAGTGACTGCATGTCCAAGACACTGGCCCTCTCCAAGCCTCTGGTAGTAGTCAGGGAAGAGGGCTCTATTTCCTTGAGGTTTGAGCACCTGCCACAGTCTGTAGGCTGAAACCAACTCTGAGATGGCAAATAAAGGCAGAGTGGGGGCCTGCACCTATGTCAGCTTGACTTAACTGCCCTTTGAGCTCTTTATTTACTTCTCTTAACCTAGGAGTTAGCCTTTGTGGTTTGCTCTTCATTGCTAACGCCTGTTACTTTAATCAGGTTGTGGTCTGCTCTGCCTCCTGTGAAGAAAATGTATCTGCTTTATGACCTGAGACCTATTATTAAAGACCTGTATGCATATCGGACATAATTAGTATGTTACAGGCACATGGCAGAGATATATTCATTCAGAGGTAAAGACAGATTTAGCTTTTTTTCAGGTATTTCAGTTGTTAGACTAGACTTGAAGAGTTTGGGAGAAGTTAAACCAGGGGCAAGATAACAGGATTTTATGCTGAGGATTTTGAAGGGACTGGAGGTGTCTGTCTACCTCTTACCCTTTTTTCTTTTATTAAGGTATGGTCATGAGATTGTGTTGGGGTCAACAGCATCTTGGCTGATGGGTTGGGCATAATGTGAGCAGAGAGGAGGAAAATTCTAAGCAATGTCAGTAGGGTAAGAGGGGAAATCTCTTAAGATGTACACTGTTATCTTTGTTTTAGAACATAATGAAAAAGTTTTAATCTTGTTTTCTCCCCATTTAATGACAGCTTACATTTTGTACATACTTATTTAAGTTTCAAATTCAGTATAATTAGACTGTATATTAGTTTGATTGATTAATTAATTAATTTTTTTTAACAGAATAGAATATGGCAAAGAGACCAGAGAGATATGCGGGCAATTCAGCCTGATGCAGGTTATTACAATGATGTAAGTATAAGATATGTCATACCAGCTTAATAAAGACCTCTTTGCTTGGGCATTTGAACCTAAAATATGGAATCTCAAATTTAGACATGGACTTTTAACATTTTTGTAATTAAAATGAAATATTCCTAAAGGAGTAATATAACGTATCTGTGCAAACCATGAGTTATTTTTTTTAATCTCAATTTAAATTTTCCTTTTAATTTGATGGTGGTTGAACTTTTGATTTGAGGCTTAAAGCAGTGTCCAACAAAAGGTTACACTACCTCAAAGTCTTTGTGATAGGAAAGTTAATGTTAAACTTGACTTTTGAATGTGTTTAAAAATTGTGTTGACTTTGAGAAGTAATTTGGGAAATCTGGTACTTGATTTTATTGTTTGTTTAGTAATAATGGGCATTTAACTTTCCTGTATCTCAGTTTTCTTCATTTAATTACTATAGACTAATTATAATCTATTATAATAGTTTTTTTAGAAGTCCTGTATGGTCCCAGATTTGTCTTTAAATGTTGAAATGATTACCTTGCAAGGTCCCTGGCTAATGCCCTGTGTATGATCAGGAGCTGTTTTATTTCATTTTGTTTATTTATTTTTTTGATAGGAGACTTCATTTTTATTTAAAAGTTTTCTGATGATAAACCTGGTTTTCTCCCAGTACTTTTGTTGGGTATCAAAGACAAAAATCCTGTATGGGCAGATATTCATTGATCAGGGGCCCTTTAAACCCAATTTTTTTTCTTTCTTTCTTTCTTTTTTTTTTTATAGTTGGTCCCACCTATAGGGATGTTGAATAATCCTATGAATGCAGTAACAACAAAGTTTGTTCGAACATCAACAAATAAAGTGAAGTGTCCAGTATTTGTTGTTAGGGTAAGTATTTTTGTTGGATGTTTTTTGGAAAAGTTAATTCTGAGTTATTCTGTAAATGTATTTAACAGGACAAAAAATTAAACATCATTTTAAATGTATGTGAGGGAGGAAAATCAGGCATTGCTAATGATTTTATTTTGGAATACCCAATCATTTTCCCACTATATCCACATTTAGTAAGATACCACTTTTGGATTGCATTTCTTCATGTTGCAGTTTCCACAGAATTCTTTCTGGGCTGGCTGTGGATGGATGGATGGATAGATAGTTAGATATTGCAGCACATCTCTGGTTTGCTTCTTTGTTTTTTTGTTTGTTTGTTTGTTTTGGTTTGCTCTTGAATAGGAATTTTTTGTTGCTGTCTGGAGAGCAGCATCTCAAGGTAAATGAAAACTCTTAGGGCTACTAGGAAGGAAAACACCCAAGAAGAGCTGAAAACCAATGGGAGACCATAATTGTCAGCTCAGTTAACACATTGTTAGGTACTCAATACATTTTCACTAAGATTTTTAAAATGCAGTTTTAAAGTAATTAGTACATTGACATGATTTGATTGATTAAAATTTGAAGAGGTTTGCAGTAAAGATGTCTTCCCATCTCTGTCTCCCAGGCATTCAGTTAATACTCCCCATAAATAACAGTATGATTGTTTTTTTTTGTAGTTTGCTAGTAAGAATGCACTTGCTGTTTTTCCATATATCAAGTCCAGAAATGTAGGATGCTTAATAGAGTGAGCAGATTAAAAATTGAAAAAATAATGGGACAGAGAAAAGACAGTCATGGCAAACATTATGGCAAATGAGCAAAACAAGCAGTTCCTCTCACTAGAGAGGTGTGGTAGGCAGCCTGGAGGTCTGGAGGGAGGGATGCTGCCTTGAGCTCCATATAAATGTGGCTATTCAGTCGTAGGCTCTGTGTTTGCCTCAGACACTGCAGCCATCAGTAAAGGAACATTATTTGAATGTCTTTCGTGTTAATAGAGCCGGCCTGTATGTAGTGTGATTTTGTTTACCAGGGGATTTGGCAGGAGGAGTATGATGTGCAGCTAACTTTAATACCTTGTTAACATAACACAGAAAACTTTGAGATGAGTAAAATCTGAGCATTCTGTGTCCTATATCTTGTTAGGTAAATTTCTCATTGGGGGAATCAAGTTATAAGGTCTTAAGAAATTTGCGTATAGAAGAGGCAAGTCCACACTGCAAGATATTTAAGGCATAAAGACTGTGGGTCCTGTGTCTACAATTTGGTTGCCTGTAGTATTTACTGGGTTGGGATTCTTAGCAGATAACAGAAACCAGGAAAGTAGGATTTCATTAACAATAATCAAAACCATGATATACATACAGGTAAGCAGTAAAAGGCTGGCTTCTTATATATATCTTTGTAATTTACCAAATAGTTTTCATTTTATGTATCTCATCTTGCTGTTCTCATAAGTACACTTGTATTTTCCAACTCTGTGTCACAGTTTTTACTTTGGAAAATAGAATTGTTGTATTGATGTTTCATATATTTACATCTAAGGAAAATGAGTATGTAATCTTCCATAGAAACTTGAAAATGAAAGTGAGAAAACGTCTGTTGCATTTTGAGTTGATAAGCATGTATCACAGATTACCTTTAGTATGCAAATTGTGACGTTAAAATATTGGGGTGGTGTTAGTCATGCCTCTTTTGCATTATATTTTTTTGAGAACAGATCAGCATAAGACCTGTCACTGCTTGATACTGTGAATGAAGGACAACTTTAAAAATATATATCTATATAGTACATTTAGTTTCTAGGAAAAGTTTGATATCCTTGATGTCCTTAAATTGCTGCTTACTGTAATACTGTTTTTTCATGGAACACTGGTAACTTCTTCCTGAATTGGTCCACTAGCAGTTGTGATAAACCAGAGCCTTCATTCATTTGGTCTTTGCGTTTTTCTAGTGACTGACCATCTTACTTATGCTAGTCTGCCTTGTATCCTGGGAACATTAGATGTTTGCATATTTTGTTTTGAAATGCTCTTTAGAGTGCCTCAGTTTGTGTAACTTAAGTTGTACTAATCATGTACTTATTTTAAATTGAGTTAATGAGCTAAAGTGCCAGAGCTTTTCTTGCATTAATAGAAGTTCTTTTCTGACAAAGTACTTGGCTTTAAATCTGAGCTGTGCTTAAGTGAAAGTCAGTATTGTCCACTGAATATTAATTATTGGATATTTCATCAATAAAGACTCTCTAAGTGTTTTAAAAATTAGGTGAGGTTGATGGTTTGTGACCTTGTATAATCTGTCTTTTTTCCCCTTCCCCAGTGGACTCCAGAAGGAAGGCGGTTGGTCACTGGAGCTTCTAGTGGAGAGTTCACCTTGTGGAATGGACTCACTTTCAATTTTGAAACAATATTACAGGTAACAGTAATCATCAGATGGTACCCTCATCCTGTGGTACTGTAAAGAACTTGAGATAGTTACCTTATTGGCATTTTTAACTTACAACTGGACAGATCATTGTTATGAGTTTATATGTGCTCCTGTAAAACCTCCCATTGTATATTCTTTCGTATAATGTTTACAAATGTTTTGTGTTTTCACAGGCTCACGATAGCCCAGTGAGGGCCATGACTTGGTCGCATAATGACATGTGGATGTTGACAGCGGACCACGGAGGATATGTGAAATACTGGCAGTCGAACATGAACAACGTCAAGATGTTCCAGGCACATAAGGAGGCGATTAGAGAGGCCAGGTTTATACACAATATACCATTTTCTGTAGTCCCTAATGTCATGGGTAAATTATTCTCTAAGTGTATTCTGGGTGCAGAGATGCATGGGCTCTGTCAGATTCTGGGAAACTTTCTGCACCCTATAAACACGATATTTTTCTTTGTTTTCACACACTCACCATTTTGCTGGCACCTTTCTGAAGTAGTGTTGTCCCGGTATCAGCCTCTGCAATCTGTTAGAGATGTATTGTCTGCCGCATTTTGCACTGGTTTTCTCTTTTCATTTATGGTTAATAATGTGTATACGTTATTCCTTTTTATTACCTACTATGTAAGACAAGAATATTTCATTCCAAATAAAGAATTCAGTCTTTAATTATACAACTGAATAAAATCTAAAGCCTGCAGAAAACACCTTCAGAGTTCACACAAAATACAAGGATAAAAGGCTTAAGTGAAGACCTGGTTGGCTTGGTTATGCCACGACTTCAAAAGGAAAGCATAGTAGGACTAAAAACTCTCCAAGTAACTCTGGATGTAGCAAACGTTAATGGTTAATGAGTGGGTTCTTTCAAGCTTTGAAACTGTAAGCAGACCATTGTCAAGACGACTCTAGGAACTTCCTCCTGATTCACTGTTGATAACGTCAGTAATGCAAATGTGTAATAAGTGGAAGTTTGAAATTTTTTCAGTGAGTTGTATATTTTTACCTATCAGTGAGGTATGTATAGTAAAACCGGAAAAGGAAGTTGCAAAAACAAGCCTGAAGAGCTGCTGCAGCCTCAGAACAAAGCTCAGCAGCATGCTGTCCGGCGGTGCCGCCCGCGTGTGGGAGGAGGGCGGCGTCTCTGTAGGAACACCATCCACCACAGTCACTGTTCCACTGTCAGAATCCTAACAAGACCTGGTGCATAAACATGCTTCTGCAAAGACTGTGCCTTACTGTCCTGCCCATACGTTGAGTTTTGGCATTTGGTCCCTTCTTAGTCATAGGGTTCAGAAGCTCAGGGGAGTCCTTAGAGGCAGATGAGAAACTCGATGGTCCTTTACAGGGAGGAAGAAAAGGCAGCAGATTCTTTGACTTTAAACACCGTCTGAACGTCCCCATGTTAGTTTTCCTCAAACAGTGCAACATTCCTGCGATAGCCCGCCAGGAAGAAGGTGTGAACGGTTTCCGCAGACCTTTTACATAAATGAGAAACATCACATGTGGGATGTTTAACAACCAGTCTTTAAATAGCCGGCCCGAAACTTTTCAGCTTTTTTTTCATGGTGTTTGAAGCAGAAGCTGATGCTAATCTTTTGAGCAGTACTCCTGTGTGATTTAACAGACTTTACAGGAATATTGCAAAGATAGAATTCGTTTAGTTTCTACACTTAAATCAGCTCCATGTTTTCTGTTGGTACAATAGGAAATACTGTACTGTGGAGAGCATGGGGACCATTAGTACTGATAATACACTCATAAAGTTCTCTGAATATTGATGAGTGAGAACTAGGAAGCAACTACTGTGTTGAAGTAATTCTTTTGTTGAGATACGTTTGTTAGCTGCCAACATTCTCTTTGAGGGCTTCTTCACTGTTGGATCCTTCCCTCTCCTGTTTATAACGCAGCACAGTGTTTTTATTTTTCCCTGTCTGAGAAGCATGGATAATCTGTTAAATGCTGACTTCTTTCCCCTGCTGTGTGTCTTCATGTAACAGTTTCTCACCCACGGATAATAAATTTGCTACGTGCTCTGATGACGGCACTGTTAGGATCTGGGACTTTCTTCGTTGCCATGAGGAAAGAATTCTCCGAGGTACGTGTGCTAACAGTACTGATTGGAATATTTAAATAGGGAAGGCATTTGTGGTTTAAACCATCACAATACCACAATACCAGCTTACATCTCCATTCGATTTTTTTACATATTTACACCGTCTCAGTCAGACTCTTTTAGGAAACCTGAACTCTCTCTCTGGTTCACAGTCATCTTTGCAGATTTTTACTACTAATATTACCTTTGAGTTCTTTGAGGTATAAGTTAAATACACACATTCCTCTTCTCCCCTCTCCCCCCAAGGGCTTGCTTATCTGTATGCATCTGTTAGGGCTGCATTCTTTTTCCTGCCTTGTACTGGGGTAGCGTTCTCCAAACATACCGACACTGTGATTGTGTTTATGTAACTCACATTCTCTTGGGAGCCATTTTACAGTGTGCATTACATGAGGCCTCAGCAGCTACACCTCTCAGTATTGCTGTCTGTGGAAGGGAGGTGGTTTTTCACTGTACCACATCCATAATGCATAGTCCACTTGTGATTAAGTTTTGGAGGGGTTCTTTATTTACTTCTGTTGACTTCATAGTTATAAACTAATATCTATGAATTACTCCACCCTAGAAAAGAAATCCATATTTTCACTTGGATTAGCTTAGCTTTAGACTTCAGAGTGGGACTGTTGAAATACTAACTATACATCAACACCATTTATGTGAATTCAGTGATGTTAGAGTAAGGAATTAACTTTCAAATATGCAATACAGACATCGAAACAAAAACATTTACACTTTTAACTAGATCTCACTAGTTCGTTGTTAACTAGGAAGATAATTTTCTCAAGTGCTTAATTTGAACCTATGCCGATTTAAGGAAGAGTGCATTCTGTTCCATACTCTTGAGTCCAGCATGTCGTAAAAATAACATCTTCCTCCAACACGTAGGTGCAGGGTGGGAGAGTGGGTGCCACAGGCATTCGGTGTCAAGAAGTTACTCCTCTGAGGTTTCCCTTTTTGTTCAAGAGTCAGTGGAGTGAGTTGTCTTGGTTGAATTGTGTCTTTCACCCTTTCAGAGCTTCATTACAACGTGTAATGTCAGTGCTTTCTAGCAGGAAGCTAAATGTTCTTGATATTTAACCCATATTTCAAGCCAGTTTTTTTTTAAATCACAATTATTTAAGCATTCCTGGCTTTGCACTTTTTGTGTGAGTTTCTTCCACAGGAATGTATTGTGACATGTGACAGCTAGCGTAAGGCTACAGTGCAGTCTTAGTGAAGGGCTGTACTCGTGATGATCTTATGATATTGAACACCTTCAGAACTAGTTGGAGTCTTTGAAATCATCTAGTCTGAGTTATTTTGTGGATGAGCACTATGACTCAGAAGGATTAAGCCACATGTTGAAGGTAAAATGAGTTCAGAGCCAGGACCAGCACATCCCGTCACTTGACACCTAGCCTGATGCTATGTCCTGTTGCGTCTTTCCTCACTGTTAGTAGAAGTCTTAGCTGTTAAACAGAAATAAGATAAACAACTATTTTTAGGCTTTGAGTATCCTAAGAAATATAGGAGAAACAGTAATTTTGTTTACAAAGAGCAATTCTAAAGTGTCAAAACAATGAATTTTACAGTGGCCTAAGAGTATGATAGCTGAAGTCTGATATAAAACTACTGTGCATCTTGGATTAAAAAAAGAAGAAAACCTACTATGTGATAGCATTTTCAACCCCAAGTTCCAACAAAGTGTTACTCAGTTTTGGTCATGAAATTGTTTCTAAATAGCACTTCGGAACTTTTTGTCTGAAATTTAGAGTATACATGAGATATTAATTAGCAGTTAAATATTTTTAGATTTGAGTCCAGGTGAATTTGGATAAAGTTAAGTGGATGCCGAATCATCACCTGTCTGACACAGCTTAAAAAGCGCACCAGTATATTAATTGAGTTGACTTTTATTTTTTATGTGGGTGATCATCTTATTTTAAGTTTTTAGTATGAAAATTTCAAACATCCACAAAAGTATAATGAACCTCCATGTACTTCTAGGATCTATATTCTAGCTTATTCATGGTTTTTACTTCTTTTAGATAGTATTCTACTTGCTTTATAGTCTACTTTTTTTTCTTAGCACTTCAATGAGTGTATGGGACAAATGTGAATATATTAAACCAAGTTAATTATACCACCCAGGTAATAGTTCTGATATCAGGTCTGTTGTAGTGGACAAGTTACTAGGTTCTGATTATTCGTTTTCTGTCATTCCTCATTTTTCTAAATTTTCTCAATTTTAAACGTGGTTATAAAATAATGAAACCAGTGTTGTTACAGTTGCCCTGTCCTTCACTAGTTGGGTTGGGAATCAGGGGATGATGGAACTCCTGTTGTATCATGGGAAGTGTGAAATTTTTCAAATAAAATTTGAAGTGGGCTTAATTGAATTCTGTTCATAGAAACTTGGTTCACAAAGTTAAGCAAGTAGGGATTGGACCTTCCAACCTCTAAAGCATCAGTTGGCCTGTATGAAGGGGTGATGTTCATGGAGCCCATGTAGGCTCTGTGACAGCAGGCGGGTGAGCATCCCCCTGCAGCGTGTTAATGTTGTGCGTCAGACCATCACTTGGGATTAAGTGTTAAAAAAATCCAGGAACATTTTGATTGTGATTGTGTAGTCCAGCTCTTGATCAAATATTTACCTTTTCTACATTATTCCCGCAAACAGTCTTCTCACAAACATTTTTATATATATTCACTACCTCACATGAATCTCTTTCAATTTTAGGTAGATCTAATTTTCAGAAAGTTCTTTCGTTATGTCAGAATCTGCTTTCTTATAACTTGTCCTGCCTTCTGTAACACACAAAATGCAATCTGTAGTCTCTTCTACATGGCAGCCCTTTAAGAGTCTGAAGACAGCTATCATGTCTTCTCAATGTAGTCCTTCAGCTGTAAGCTTATGGGATCCCTGTATATGGGACGGTACTGTTGAGGGCAGAATTTACAGTTGCTTTTAGTGTTCTTACTGAGATTGTTCTTACTCTTCTTGGAAAAGGAAGAAGTTACCCAAGAGAAAGTAATCCGTATTTTAACGTTGAAATAAGCTTGCTCTATTGTCAGACTTGCTACTCTGGGATTGTGGTATTTGGTCCATAGGCGGGAAAAGCAAACACTTGTTAAACTGAATATCCTATATCATTGAGAAGTGCTGCGTATATGTCCACCTGCTATCAGAGCATATGCAGACCAGTGTAATGTACACACTTCTGTCCTTTTCTGGTATGAATTACTGCACGCAGTTTATGGAGTGGCATTAAAATAACATTTAAGCACCAGAGTACATGAGTTAAAGGAGTCTCTAGGTGTTTGTACAGTTGACTCCAAGTGAAATAGAGCCATTCAAATCCACTTGATTAATGAGCTCATCTTATATGCATGCTATCACAGGAAGAAGAAATTTTAAAAAAGAAGAAAGGTATGATGATTCCCTACCCTTGTGCTTCTTAAAGTTTAGTAGGAAAGAAGATACTTTCACAAACTTAGGATGTTGGGTAGTAGAGAAGAGTCATGATAGTGTTAAAAGTGTGGTTTTAGCAGTATAAAGTTAGAAGCAGATCACTTATGACTAAGTTGCAAATAAGACATGTTGAAAATACACAATCGTTAAGAATACTAAAGTAAATTTTAATGAGAAACATAATATGTACTCTTAAAAATAGAATCCAGTTTACCAATTTTAGCATGCTTTAGTTTTGTTTTACCTTCTTGATTTTAACAACAGTAGCTGACACATTATACTTGCTAAGGATCAGGCATGGTCTAAGTACTTGATTTAATCTTACCTGTAACCCTGGGAGATCAATACTGTTTTTTCTACATTTCACAAATTAGTAACCAAGATCTGAGAAAGTTAAGTAAACCTCCCAGAGGTCATATAACTTGTAAGAGGTGGGGCTGGGATTTGAACCCAGGTTATCTCACTCCAGAGTTCATACTCTTAACCACTGTGTTAAACTGCCTCTTTGATGTTTTACAAATATCATCAGCATGGATGAAATAATGTAATTCTGAGCGGTGATGTTAGAATTGTAGAGTTTTTTGGGGGAAAGGAGAGAGGAGTGGGTGGAAACAACTAACAAGTTCATCTTACCATTCTTCCTTCAAACTGTCCATGTAAGCTAGAGGTTTTCAAAATATGGTATATTTAACAAAAAAATTAAATTACAGTGAATAGTTAAAACTGTAGATGAATTGTAAGAGACACATTAGGTTATATAAGAAGAACATGGTCATAATGAGTTATAGTGAGACTGGCTTGGGAGGTAAGGTCTGTTTCCAGTTTTCAAATGCAGCACTGCTGGAGAGGAAACGAACCCCTGAGTACACACAGCATAAGAAAAAGAATATTAGTACTTTTGATACTTCCTGGTTGCATTTGACTGTGGTTCTTAATAAATGAGATAAATCCCTCTGCAAAGATCGTTTGGTTCAGCAGCATGTTTTCGAACTGTGTGAAGACAAGTTTACGAAGTTCAAGTGTTCCAAAAATCTCTGATGCTTTTTTATTGGAAACAGTTTTACTTATTTAAAGTAAATTGGCAAACCATGATGATTAATGGACCTAATTTATTTGTACAGTGATTTACAACACATGCCACAAAATCCTTTCTATTCTAAGATGAAAAACAAACACCCAGCTTCCTTTAAAATGAACAGCCTGTAGCAAAATAACTCCTTCCACTAACATAGCATGTTTTAATTTTAAAAGTACTTCAGGCACATCTTATATAACCATCCAAACAATCGCATGGACCCGTTTTGTATGTGGACACCTGTTTCTTTGTCTGTGATTCCTTATTTTGAGGAAGAGTTCATTTAAGGCTCTTTTTCCCTCTGCTCTCCTGAACAGACTGGATCATGGTAGGTTCTTGTAAATAATTATCTGAGTATATCATGAGAGGGAAGAAGCCTTAATACTGACTTTTTTTTTTTAATTTCTTTTTGAGGGGAGGTAATTAGGTTTGTTTGTTTATTTATTTATTTGATGG